CTCACACACACACACACACGCACGCACGCACGCACGTTAGTCTTTATGGAATTTTTTCAAGCTCCTATAAATTTCTTGATTAATTCAAGAAATAATTCTGAGATGTTACAAAAATATATAAAGGAACATTAATTATAATTCCTATCAAAGGAATTTTGAGACAATATGTGATGAAAAAAATTTAAAATATTTCATATTCATACTTTGTAACATATTCATACTTAGAATATATATCAAAAGAAGTAAATTAAATTGAATATGTTATTATTGAATAGCGAAAAAATGCATTTATGTGCATACTTGTGTATGCTATTAATACATGATAGTTCCTGAAGAATTTTATTATTTGTCATGGTATGCAATTAATAATGGAAATTTTTTAGTGAAAAAAATGATTAATAGTGAAAAATATGACCCATATATCTATGTTTGAGCTTCATTTTATCAAGAGTTTAGAGATGATAGCTCAATTAAAGTGAACTTATGGTTGTTTGTGAATTGAAAAGCACTTTGACCTGAAAGGTGAATGGCATATCATTTGATTATTATATGCTAATAAATGTCTTTAAAATTTGACAAAGATAGAAATAAGAGAGGTATGTTTGCTTAACTCACAAACTTGAGAAAGAGATTGTTGCAATATACATATGTGTTAATGTTGGATGAAGTTCCCCTTATGTATTCCCTCTTAAAGCACAATAAATATCCCTAATTGATATTATGTTAAAATAGTAAATCAATCACATGTTATGAAAATTGAAAATTTACTACTGGTTAAAAAAATGTTACAGTAAACTAGAAGTTTACTAATCTTAACAAATATATTATTAACATAACTTGTTTTATTATGTTGGATCGTATATATGATATAAATAATTATTGAGAATATATATTTATATTTAATTTTGAAGAACCAGAAGATTCTTCATCAATTGCCAACATCTGTGTATATATATATATATGAAATTAGATAATTAGTATGTGTTGTTTGTTCTCAAAAAGATGATTATGAAAATATCATTACTTATAACTTTGAATGAATCTTCACATTTCTGAAAATATATCAAATTTATATATATGGGCCCATTCAAATAGCATGTGAACTATACAAGTGTTTGATAAATTTGGTAGATGTATTTATAAGATGGTTATGAATATGATTATTTTTAATCTGCAACCTCGAGTTTGTAAGATTGTTTAAATAAAGCATTTGTCCCTAAATGAAACAAAGGAATGTTTTCTAAAAAAAACAAATGAAATTAGGAGACTTATACTATATGATGAGTGGATTGTTAGTTCACCGAGTTTTTTCAACATAAGGGGGAGAAAAAGAATAGTTGAAAAAGAAAATATATAGAATGCATTATCATCATCTTATTCAAATCCTCTCAAATAGCAATATGAACTAAAAGTTCATTAAATACATTCATAAAATATTGCAAGATACAGGCCAGATGCAATTATATACTGACCGAAATGAGAATTGTTAAATCTCATATTCCAACTGAAGAAGCTCCAATTAGTATAAAAAAAAAAGCGAGGCATGCCTGAAGTATGAGAGATCAATTGGTTCCAAATATAAATATCTTAAAAAAGAAAGAGCATATAATTAAAATGATTATATTAAGGAGGCAGACACTTTAAAAGAAGGTCAAGACATAACTAATTATGAAAACCCCAAAAGAGGTTCAGGTACCTGAAAGCAATAAAGAAATTTTAAAACGTTATGTCACAATTGAAAAAATAAAACTGAAAGTATAAATTTGTTGACAACAATTTTGATGATAATATCACATAATCAAATAAAGATCTTATGCAAATATGGTATTAAAAAGTAGATAGAAAGATGATTGGCCAATGGAAAAGGAAAGAAAAACAACGTAGTCTCAGTAAAATTATATTTATTTTAAATATATGAAAAGTTATGCACTTATAGTTCAAATACCGAAGCATAAAATTATCATGAGGTATGTAAACATTTATATGAAAATAAGGATTTTTACAACGGTATAATAATGATCATGACCTAGTAAATTATCTTGTGGTGGATTTTTGTTATATTATATTATTAATTTGGCAATATATGAAATTAAAATATGATGTGTCTATTGTATATTATAACACATGCATATGATTCACTAAACTGTGAGATTTATATAAGCATCCTTGAAGGATAAAAAATTTCAAAAGCATGATCAAAATAATTATTTATTATATTAAGTAGACTAACATAGTCTGAGTATATATAATTAACTCAACATATATACATTAAAAGAATGTATAATTTTACATTTTACTCAACTTGTAAATTAAATTATTAAATATCTCAATTATTTTAAAATCATTATATTTTATGAAAATATGTCTATAAAATATATTGAATTTAAAGGTCTACACACACCATATATTTATTCTATGATAATATTTATATATTTTACTAATATTGCATTTGTTATAATTTTGGAAGCAAAATTGAGTTCCTGCAAGTACACAACTGTATATTGATATAAAGATTTGGCTGGTATGGTTCTACGAAACTATTACATGAGATCGTTTTGTTTAGCAGACAAATTAAACATGCAGATGCAATATATACCATGATGATTTTTAAAATAATTTTTCTTTTATAATCTCCATAGTACATCATATAAATAGAATGTATATTGATAATTCAACATATCCAGAAAATATGTTAGAAGAATATATGTATGATAAAATGCATCATGTATAAGCTAAAAAGAAGACCTATTTAAAAAAGTATTGGCAACAATCACATTTGATAAATTAGTATTCTCTATTGAGATACAACAACAATAAATGGTGTTATTATTAGGGGGAGTTAAATTGATATCATTATTAGGGGAGTAAAGTTCATGTTGTATTTTTTTTCCTTAACCAAGGTTTTGTCTCACATGATTTTTCTGATAAAGTTTTTAATGAGACTTCTTCAATATGTATTGTGTATTTTTTTCTTTTACTAAGTTTTTGTCCCACTGGGTTTTTTCTAATAAGATTTTAACGAAGCACAATATTTGTTCATGAATATCCAAGGGGAAATGTTATAAATATTATTGTATGGATGTTCATAAACTCTTCCAACTCTAGGCCTTTTATATCCCACATTCTATAACCTCTCTAATGAATTGCTTTAAGAGTTTTTTTCATGTTTAATACTCATAAACTTAAAAGGTTATATATTGTATATTGATATAAATTAATCTTGCTATTTAATCAATTATAAGTCTTGATTAAGGTTGGAGCTTGTAAATAAAGGCCATATACTACACATTAGAGAAACCTATAAAAAATGAATATTACTCCCTCCGTTTCAAATTATAAGACAATTTTGGATAAAATTTTACATACCAATAAACCTAATTAAAGACACTTAATAACCTTATCTTTCCAAAACATAAACATAAACTTTTAAAAATACCCATAATTTAATATATTAAAAAGAGAAAGGATAAAAATTAATTATAGAGAGAGAAAAGGTAATATTAAAATCAGTGCATTTAATGAAATCTTAATTTACTCAAAGTGTCTTATATTTTAAGATAAATAAACTTCTTTAAAAGTATTCAATAATTTGAAATAGAGGAAGTACTGCTCCTTTTTTTTCAATCCTCTTTTGATTTGTTCATTTCTTCCATCTTAGATTTCTCTAATATTTTTTTTAGTTTCATAACAGTGACAATATTCTCACATTTATTACACATTTAATACTACAAGCATAAAATTTTCTATAAATATAAACTAATCACTTCTCTTAAAAGTTAGAGCAAATTATATTTATACCAACTAATTATCTTGTCACTTGAGCAAATAGTATGTATAGAGTGCAAATCACAACCCTTTTACGTATTTGCCTTTAACGTCTCAATAAATTAAATATAATCTTTCCTGTTGATAAAACCTAGTCTCTATGCTTGCCAAAAAGAGTAGATTAAATTAATAAGTTTCAATATATAATAAACAATGTTAAATTAAATTTTATTTTTTTAAAAAAATTTAATATTTATTTTGAACGTTAAAGATCGGCATACTTAAAAGTTGTTATTTTGCTAACAATAAGTTCTTTGATTTTTTTTTTGGAAAAATTACAACGAAAGGTGTAGAAAAAAAATATTTATTAAAGATGATCTTAAAAATAGCTATTATTTAGAAGGCTCAACTATCTCAATATAATTTTAAAAATGTTATATTGCCCCTAATCATATCTTCTACATTTTTTTCAACCATATGTCGCACGTTTTATTATATAGTTACCAATAAAAACACAATATTCTAGAAAAAGCTATTTCTTTATATAACAAGGAGATGAAAAACAGAAAATTGAAACAAGGCTAAATTAATGTGAACTGCAGCAAGTTAATAATCTCGTATCTCTCAAAAATTCAAAAGCCCAAACATTGAGAACGCACGGGTTCTTGGCAAAATTTAATAGTTTTTTTAAAGGTAAAGACTTTTTAAATTTATATTGATTTAATTTTTAAAAGTAAAGATTTTTTTAAAAAATAGATTGATTTTTTTAAAATTATATTGTTCTAATTAAATTTAATACTACTTTTTATTTTTGGTGTGAACTGTGAAATTGAAAATTACACAACTTTTGTTTTAAAAAGAATACTTTTGTAACTTGAGCAGTACCCCATGTTAATTTTAAGGTTGACAGATTTTGCAGTAAAGTAACAATAGTCAATTATATATAACTTAATTCTTCATCCTAACCTAATTTTAGCTTTTATGGTCTTTATAATAAAATTTTAGTAGTATAAGATTCCTTCCCTAATTTTCCCGCCTTTTTTGTTTTTGTTTTAAATTGCTGTATCCTCTTATTGGAGGGCGCGCACGACGGGTAAACAGCGATGGGCTTGAAGTCTGATAGGTGCCATTTTTTGGGCGCATTCGTGATGCGCAACTGATTAAAACCCAATTCTCGCAACACATGAGACGAGCCCAAACCATACCAAACGTTAAGAACTTGAAAATTGAAACCCCGGGGCGTTGAATTCGGATTTCGTATTCACTCGCAAAACCCTCTGCTTCTCCCTCCTTCCTCTGCGCGCTCGTTTGATTTTCCTAACAAATGCCTCCAGAGGATGCAACGCCCGTGAAGCCTGATAATCAAGAGGAGGAAGAGGACAAGAAGAGTTTGGGCTCCAAGCAGCTCACCAAAGCCACAATTGCAAATGCGAAGCCCCAACCCAAAATTGCAAAAGTGAAGAAGGAGGAACCTGAAGCAGATGATTCTCCAATACCAGTCAAGGCTGCTAGTTCTGCCTCTCGACCCAGGCAACCCAAAGTGAAAAAGGAAGAGCCTGAAGACAGCGCCGACGACGATGACATGCCACTCGCCAAACGGAGCTCCATAATGAGCCTCAGAAAGGTTTGTCGACTTTTCTTTTGTTGAAACGAAAAACGGGTGCTTATGGAGCGTCTTCCGTACCCCCGGCCTAGGTGTAAAAAATTTGCTCTGTATAATGGATGGACTTCTATGTTCTGGTTCATCAAAGGTTTGTAACACCTGGCCAAATTAACATTAATGGATGTGTCTGTTTGGGGACAAAAGGAACCGAAGAAGAAGAAGAAGATAAAAGAGCAAGGAAAGAATAATGGTGTGCCTGCTGCTGAGCAGAAGAAACAAAAGAAGGTCTATGATTTACCTGGGCAGAAACGGGATCCGCCGGAAGAGGTATGCCGTTGCCTTCATGTTTTAGCTCAATTTAACTCTGTTGCTGGAGAAGCTTGAGTGATACTGATGATTACTTTTGTTTCATTGCAAATATTTCAGAAAGACCCTCTGAGGATATTTTACGAAACTCTGTATAAGCAAGTTCCCAAAAGCGAAATGGCACAGCTGTGGTGAGCTATCCCTGCCCATCCCCATTTTTATAGCGTGTTGAAAATTGAAAATTTACCGAGCGTGTTGGAGGGTGAAGGAAGCTATTTTTAATGCTTTGTTTTTCCTATTTTCTTCATCAGTTGAAAAGATTAATGATATATCTTGACTGTATGAGATAAAAGGGTTGGCCTTTATTAATGACTTTGGGTCCCCCGAGAATATCACTATGGAGTCAGCATGATAAGAGCTCTGTGAGTGAGTTGGCATTTGGATGAATAGTGTCATTGCAACTTTCAAAGCATATGAATCAGCCTTTGTGAGAGAATTCATAGTAACAAGGTGTGTTGCTGCTTCACTTCTGTGGTACTATGTTCACAGATATTAATAGCCCTCCATGACTTGTATCTCTGCAACATGATTCTTGGCGCTACGCCTCATGTGGCCTTGCAGCTCTATTGTAGCTCCTCTTTAGCTGTAGATTTTGTGCTACAGGGCTAGAGGATAATGATAGTCCTATATTCTGGATAGGCTGTTGTTGGAGATTCACTCAGTGTCTCAATCCATCCTTGGGTAAGTTCAAGCTAGAGGGCAGCAATGGTCCTTATTTTGCATAGGCTGTCGTCGGAGATTCACTCAATCCATCCTTCAGTGATTGGTGTTGAATGTTTCAGTTTGGCTTAATAGGCTTTGACAAGAAAATTTAATTCTTCGGATACCATTGGCCTCATCTTACTGAAAGATATTGACTTGAGCAATGAGTGGTCGATTGGCAGGGTAAACAACAAACTAAAATATGAAACTCTTGATATAGCTGATGAACAATGAAGAGGAAATTGAGATTGCCTAAAATGATAATCATTGAGGATGTTAGGATGTTTGCACTTGATGAAGAGGAATTGGTTGAGATATCTCACTAAGCTTGACTAAAAAACTTTTGTTAGACATTGATAATGTTGATGGTCTAAGCACTTGTTATGATTCATGGCTGATATTGTGTTGTAATTTTTTTATTAATGCTTTTAATGTGAGTTTGGCTTTCAATACGTTTTATTTATTGTCAATTGTGTTATTATTTTTCTAGTGCTATGTTTTACTATAGCTGGCACAACACTATGAGGGTTTTGCACTATAAGAGCACTACCTACGTCAGTGACTTTGACCACGCGAAATATCATCTTAGTTACTTTTAAATCAAGGGTTGAATGGGCAGGGTGATCACATGAGGTAAAAGCATTGGTCTAACTCTTTCATATTTCTTGCCAATCATGTTGGGTTTGCATGGATATATAATGCTATTAGTTTGTCAAGTTTTATCCTAGCAATGAATTCATTTACATTTTAGAGATCATACTTATCTTTTCTACATTGCTAGCATGGGAACAATGATCTTGTGTTGTTGTTCCTATCTGATTAAGTAATTCGGTGGGTTCACGGCCTGTTCGTTGGAGTTGTAATATGCTGAGTTTATGTCAATCTGGACTGATCACTAGCGTTCCAGCTGGCTCAACTTGATCGTTGAAAATAGTCTTGTTAGATACGAATCCTTAAAATATGAGCCCTGAATGTTAGGTTTTCAAGTTTCTAGTTGTTTAAGAGTTTTTCGGTTTCTTGTTGTATTGATTTAATTTATTTTTTTTTCATCTGCCAAGTTTTATCCACAAAAGAATTATTGAAGTGACACATTCTGAACTGCAGAATAAAATTAGTTGATGGCCTCAGAACCCTTTATCTTCTGTTCTCCTTTGTTGTAGTAGTTTTTATCAAACTACTTCTCTCTTCTAACTTCTTTTCTAGATTTTCCCTGCACAATAAAAAAAAAAGAATAATTTGAGTAGATTTGTTAGAAAATGCTTTTTTATCTTATAATTGAGTGATAATAAGAAAATATATAAAAATTATTTAAATAGGTATAAAATATTAATGAATTTATCCAAATATAATAAAAAATCTATACCTTTTTATGTGTAAAAGATGCACTTATCACTACTCCTTTTGATCCTAAATGCAGGAGCTAGTTGAAGAGTTTGCTTTTGTCTAAAATAACCCTGCTTTTGTCTAAAATAACCCATACTGTTAATATGTATAAATTAGTTATCTAGTTCCTAAATTTAAAATCGGATGGCGTACTATTTATCTCTGGAAAGAATATGATAGTAAAGAGACATTGAGCAATATGGAGTCATTTGGTACAATGTGATCTTTGCCTCGGCATCTCCAGTGCTTGGATTTGACATACAGTTATTAAGATGCGTGATGGCAATTAGGATCAAAGTGACTTGTATTAATCCAAAGACCAAGTTATTGCAATTTTACATCTTTGAATCTTTAGCTTTAGCTCTGTAATTTTTGTTTAAACTTTCAATTATTATACCAAACGTGTGAATCTTATATACCATGATACTCTAGATATTAAGTAATTTAATATAATTATATGCAAATGGCTCCTTAATGCGTGTTTGAAATTGAATAAAGGGGAAGCTGTTTGACTGCTATCCTACCTAGTAAGATATCTCCTGTAACTTTGTTGTTTTTATCCTTTTCTTTTCTTTTTCTGTTTTTGGCAGAGTAGTCCTTAAGGTTATCCTTTACTAGCTGCTGGATAATTATTTTGTTTTGCCGGGGTAACCCTTTAGAGTTTAAACGAACAGTGCCCCTAATGGATATGTACAGCATGCAATTGATTTGGCTCAGTTCTTGTAGAAACTTTTGATATCTATCTATGATATAATCATTAACTATTGTGGGAGGGGGAAAGGTACCATAACATTGTAGTGTAACTGCAGGATGATGGAATCTGGATTGCTTCCTGAAGAATTGGCAATGGAAGTGTATGAGAAGAAGCAGAAGAGGGGGTTGCAGAGCAAGTTGAGTTCTCCATTGAAGACAGCAACTGCAGTGAAGAGCTGCAGTGATTCTGTAACAGTGAAGAAGAAAACACGATCTACACCCATGCCTTGTGCACATAAGAAAACGGCCTCCGCACAGAAGCAATCCAGGAAGCGGAAAGTGGAGGATGACTCTGACTCTGGGGATCAGTTTATATTACCCAAAGCCAAGAAAAGAAAAGAGGCCTGATTGTTCTGGTTATTGCGATTTTCACATGACTACCATTTCTCATTTGATTCAAATTCATGGACAACTGTAGTGTGATTGACAGGATGGTTTTATATCTGCCAATGAGGCTGACCACTTCCTAGTTGAATCTCCCTACGCGGGCATTCCGAGTGTCGGTCATATTCTATGGGGAAAAGATTAAATTAAAAAATTGGATTTTTTATTTTATTTTTAACTACCTAAACTAAAATGACAAGCATTCATGAATGGTAATTTTCGACGGGTTTTAATCATATAGGGTGGACTTACTAATGCTAAGTCATATAATCAGCAATGTGAAAAAATGGGACTGGCCAAGGCTATTAAAAGTGGCTGAAGTATTGATTCACAGCAGATCATGATCTAAATTGTGGTCCAACTCATCGTGAATATATTAATATATACTGTATACTGATTTAGTTTAAACATGTCAGATATTTTTAATTGAATTTTAGTAAAGTAGTTATTCACTTTTTTAAGTGGCTTTATATTTTTATATTTACCTTTATTAAATATTTTATAATAAATATTAAGTTATTGTCAACAGGGTACTTTTAAAAAAAGATGATTATACTTCAAAAAATTAAAAATGCTTTATATTTTTGAATATATAACTCTTTAAAAAATGTCTTATATTTTTTAACGGAAAGAACATATATGTTATATATTTAAAATAGATAGAAATAATTATATAATATAACAACAATGAATAATTAAATTTTAAATTAAAATAACATATAATAAAAAGGATAATATCCATCTATATTTCATCATTTTCATTCAATACACACACGCTTATTTCATGGGTGTAATTTATAATTTTAAAATAAAGACATAACTTATATATATTTCAGTATATTTGCTCATCTTTTCATTTTACAATGCTTATTAGGCATAAAGATGTGTAAATTATAGTTTAAAAATGTGAATTAAATTTTAAAAAGAGTTAAAAAATGTCTGTTCAACCAAATTCGCTACTTTTGACCGGTTTAAGGTCGGTTTAGCCCGTTCTCAAAACTATTAGTTTCTTGTAGTGATCGGGTCAGATTAAATGGTGCCCAGTTCGACAAGTCAAACTAGTTAGTTTGGTCTAGTTTTCATAGCACTAATAAGTGATATTCCTCAATCCTTTTTATAAGTCATTTTTATCAATTTCATCAATATCAATACAAAAAAAGTATAAAGTGTGTAGAATTTTAAATATACTCTTGTATAATAAATTTTAAAAGCAATGTCATGTTATCTTCTCTATTTTATGAAGGATAATTTTAAAAATATTTTTTAAATATTATTTAAAAAACTGTACTATAATTTATAAATAAAATAAAATAATTTTTTTAAAATAATTTATAAGTGAGATCGGAGGGATTAGAGCTTCAAGAACCGATATGCTTGAAATGAGTCTTGCGTCTGATTTCAACGTCCAGCTGCTCCAGGAGCCGACCTTTACAGCTTCAAGAGATGCCGTGTAGAGATTGCAAGGGCTTTGCATGCCCGCGTCTCGTCAGACGTCAATCCAAATGAAATTTATTTTATAAAATAAAAAATTTATTACTTTATTTTATAATCAAACGTCAATATATGAAATTTTGCGTCCCTCTGCATTCAAAATGTGCAAAACTGCAGAGAACTCTGCAGAAGGATTGTTCCAAAGGTTTTACTCATATAAGAGAATGAACCGGAAAAATTAATGAATTATAGATCTCATAATTTAATCAATTAGATCAATAATTAAATAAAAAATAATATATATATATATACAAACATATATATATATATATATATATTAAAAAATAAGTCAAATCAATTCAGATGTTTTGATTTAATGAATTTTTGCTTTGAGTCTTTAAAAATTGCTCTGTCAAAGTGAGCCAATTTGAATCAATTGTCAAAATGAACTAACTAGAGTCAAATGCTAGAACGAACTAAATGATTAAATTAGATCATTTTTTCTCTTTCCAAGTGATTGTTCGACTGGTCTAACTATTCAAATTGATCTAGATCTTAAAGCAGTAATCTAATAGGTGGCGCGTAATGAAATCTCAAAAATATCAAACTAAGTAATAATTCTGGGCGCAAAAAATCAGAAACACGAAGCCACTTTCCAAATTTTTACGCTGTAACCCACTGTTATTATTGTATAGAATTAAGTTATTACTAATTAATTTATGTTTTTTAAAATTTAGCTAAAATGTTAATTTTTTTAAAAAATATATTTTTGAATCATACCTTGAGTAGAATAAATCTAATATTTAATTTATTTAAAATACTCTCATTAATTATTTGAGTGAAATATAATAAAATAAAGATATGATTAGAAAAATATATAAAACCTTCTCAATACTCTATAGTTTGAAACAAGCGAGATTTTTAAAAAATGTCATATGTTTTGGTACAATTGGACTACACTATTACTTTAATTAATCATTATTTTATGAGTAAAATACTTCAACATCACATCTATTTTGTCCTAACTACAGATATCTACTTTTTATTTTAAAACTTATATAAACTTCTTCTAGTATGAAGAGATCCAAGACACAAGCACCTTTTCTATTTTTAAAATTTTATTTTTATCCATTCAATTATTGTTAGTTCATTATTAACTTATATGTTAAACCAAAATAATTCCTTTTCAAATATACATATTGTCTAAAAATTATTCAAATTACTCAAAAAATTTAATGCATATGCATTTTACTTTTTTAATTTATATTTTATTTTTATTTTTAAAATTTATTTATTTAGTATTTTAAAAATATTAAAATACATAAAATAATTAAAAATATTATTTCAAATGTGCAATTAAACAAATTAATGAAATAAGAATTTTTGGGCCAAAAATAAAATAAATATTTAATATAATAAATTATTTAATATAATTTATGTTTAATTTTTTTAAATTTCATAAATTTTGACATAAAATTTTAAATTATTGATTTGAATATCCACATACGTAATTATTTATATTTTCTGAAATTGGAAGAGAGAATAGACAGTTAGATTATAAGGATAAATTAATAATTTAAAAATTTTTAATATAAATACCAATAGAAAATTAAATATTTTAAAATTTTTAACAGAATATTTTTAACGATTTTATGGAATGAGACTAAAACGTAAGTTTTTAAAATAAAAAGAAGGTCTTTATAATTAAAATAAAATAGATGAAAAGTCACTATATTTTACTTTTATTTTATTTGGCCTTTCTGACCAAATTTTAAGAGACACTCTTTCCCTTCTAACAAAAAAGAAACACCCTCTCAAATTCCGCGCGCAATTAATTTCCCATATTTTCGATCAATTTCAGGGCTGTTAACCATAATGGGATGCTCGTTATTCCCCATTCTCATAAACTACTTTCCTTTTTTTCGTTTTCTTGACCAACTGAAAACGGAACAGTTCTGGGCAATTATTTGTCCCGAGCCGATTGTCATAAAAGTTCTGTTTAATGCCGATGGTCATTTCCCGAATCATGCTTCACCCCATCTCTCTACAATCTGTGGTTTATGAAGATTCACAAGCCTAATAAATCTATTTTAAAAAAAGTCCGGTAAACAATCAAATTAAAGATTCTAACAACCCCCTTGATTTTATGGTGAAAGTTAAAGAGACGAAGTAAGAAAAGATAATTGTTGTTTTTTTTTTAATAACTAGAATAGAAAAGGAAGGATGATTAGAAAAGAAGGGGAAGAAGAGCTGGGGAGAGGGCGGACCGGCAAAGTGAATGTCTTTGTTATTGATATTAAAACACTAAAAATGTGGGTGTATGAAGATTAAAGAAAAGTTGAGACAACAGTATACACAAGTATTATAAATTATAAAGTATATTTAAATATTACAAGATTCATTTACAACTTAACAAAATGGACCAACAAGTTAGCAAAGGAGGTTGACAATCAACCCTGTGATATTTACCTCAAAGCAATTCACCCAGAAGTTAAAAGGGGAAACAAGTGAGCGAAATTTTAAACGAAAGAGAAGCTGAAAGAGGGCGTGCAGGCGCTACTTGGTTAGAAATGGCATGGAGAAAGCGGAGAAGGAATTGGGAGCCTAGTGAACCAAACAGACGCAGGAGCGGCTTTACCAAATAAAGCTCCATATAAAACCCTAGTGAGCCCCAATCTTTCCCTCCTCGACACGTGTCGGATGATACCCCCTCTCACAGTTTTTCCCATTCCCTTTTTTTATTTTTATTTTTATTTTTGCGTCCTCCTCTTCTCCTTCCCTCCCTCACCCTACCAGCACCACATCACTCTCTCTCTCTCTCTCTCCCTTCTCAACCCTCTAATCTAATTCCCTCCCTCCCTCCCTCCCTCCCTCTATTATCTATCCGAGAGTACAGTAAAGCTCCTCTGTTTCTGCGGATATTCAGACCCAGCTTGGTTTGCGGGCGACGGAAGAAAACAACGCATTGGCAATCCCTCTCGGTTTCCAACTCCGCCTCTGCCATGTTGTCTGCCGAGGAGACTCGAGTTCTTGAAATCCTTGCTCGGCTGCCGCAACTTATCTTGGAATCTGAGGTCCGCTCTTTCTTACCGTCCGCCTGGGGCTGTAAGCGGAGGAGATCTGCAATTGACCTTCCCTCTAATCAGTCTCATTCTCTCCGTCTCCGTCTTCGACTTTCCAGGACGCCGTCGCCGTCGCATCCCGCTGCTAAAGACGGCGTTGCCCATGCGTCCGACACCGATAGTTTGCCGGCGGTCAAGGCTAATGCTCCTAGTCCTGCTACCCCTCTTTCGTTTTCGCCCAGTGAATCTGACGAGAAGCCCGTCGTTTTGAAAAAGAAACAATCTCGGAAAAGGGTGTGTTTTACTGCCTTGCTTTCGTCTTTTCTTCATCTCCTTAATTATTTCAATCTGCTTTCTCGGGGCTCATTTAACAGGATTTTATCTCGTCGTTATCTAATTTTTGAATTTTTTATGTTTTTAAAACCTGTAGAAGAGAGATGACTTTTTGAGGACGATAGAAGAATTGACGAGCAGCAAACAGTTGCTTCAAGGGGTAACTTCCCCCCCCCCCCGGTTATTTACTATGGTGGAGTAACCGACGTTGCATTTAGCGATTGACTTGCCCTTTTAGTCCGAAAAGATATGTGCCGTATCTGGTTTTCTTGCTTACTGTTTGATCTGTGAAATTCAAACAGGAGGTAGATAATGTGAAACGTTACCTCGACGATCTGATTGCCCACAATTTGAAGTTGAAGGCACGGAAAGAAGAGGTAGTCAATTCTTTTGCTTTCCTTTGTCTCCCCCCAATTGTTCCTTTTCCTCCGCTTCCATGATGTTTGTCCTTCTTTTTTTCTTCTCCCTTCTGTTTTAGTTTCTTTGTTTTTTTTTTTTTTACCCTGAGTTTTATGTTACTTTATCGCTCGCTTTATCTGCTGTAGGTCTAAACCTTGTTGGATTGTTTTTTCCCCCCTTTTTTAAATAAAACAGTTAAGTGTTGGTCGTCAAAGGGAAAATCCCTCTGTGAAAATGGGCTTGCAAAGAGTCGATGCTCCGGTCAAGACGTCTTCCATGGCTGAAAATCAAGATCCTGATCAGCGTCATCAGCAGGCGAAGCGAATCGCCTGCCAAATGGGCGAGTCTTGTCAACCAACGACGTCGTTGCCATCAATTAGTGGATCAGGCATGGTCGCTAACACCAGTATGGGTCCGTTTGGAATTCCCGATCTGAACGTCTCTCCCGACGACTCCATGCCAGTCGATTGTTCTCAACCCTTTGATCTAAGTTTGGCTAACAAACATCTCAGTAGGGTCATGGCAGCTAAGGCAAGGCAGAACAGGATTATGATTAAAAGGGTTAAGAATTTCATAGTAACCAGTAAACCACGTTCCTCTGGGCTGCAGTAGATGAATTTTCTCTTTCTATTATTATTAATTATTTTTTCTCTTATCCCATTTGTTGGTTTTACAGTTTGCCCTTAATTAGTCGATGACTTGGTGCGGAAGAAATTGTTCTCATTCTCATGATATACTGATATTTGATAGGATCGCGACTGTAAAATTTGTAGAATAGAGATGTTCTCTGCGGAATATTTTGTTCGATTTGCGATGTGCTGGTGACACTGATTAATGATCGATTTGAAAATAATATATATTATTTTTAACCCTATCCGAGCTTTTATCGATGATGATGGGCTAAGTACTTATTTGTTGTGTTAAAAAAAAAAAATCTTTTCAAGTGTTAAGAGTGCAAAAAATATTTAGATATCTGCCGCGGATCTTAACTAGTGGGGACAGTTATTGAGTTAGAAATAAAACGAGGTCCTCTGCGGGTTTAGGGCTGTTGCTCAAAACTCGAAAGCAGAAAGGACTTTGCCCTGTTTATCATTGTCAACAAAAGCGTCATTAGAATGTTTTCGCCAAAAGGGGAAAACCGACAACCGTCATTAGAATCTGGGGTCAACATCCAGTCATCCACCCCACTAATCACCCACGCTGGCAAACATTGCCGACTTTGTTCAATTTCAGCTCCAAAGCACTCGTTAAGAATTCATTCCACAGTACTCAAACAGCCACTGTTCCTCCGACACGGTGAAGTGTCGTGTTTCCTCGTCCGCTTCCTTGTATGCTGCTTTGGGCATCAAAGTCATCGTTCTCGTGTTCTTCCAGCAGAGGAAGGGATTCGGCATTGCAGCTGGCTCTTCCCGGAAAGACTTAAAGCGATAATTCAGCAACGACTGAAATTCCTTGATGGTCCAACTTTGTTTCGACCAAACCCCATCAACGAGATTAAGAGGTGTTTAACAGAGCAAATCAGGATAATGGACATCGGCGAAATTCGACAGTGATAGTATGCTTGTCAAGCCTGAGCCAAAAAAGTTGCAACCATTGGGGAACAAGGATTTGCGACGGATCTTCGTCGTATCGTTTCTCCATTTGTGTCTATCGGATTAGCTTCCCTCCACAAAAGTGCATTGGAGTTGATGATTTAAATTTAATAATTTTAAAAGTATAAGTTAATCTGTATTGTTAAAAATTTAATGTAAATAGTTTACATTTGCAATGGAGGCGCAGTGGAAAGAAATCAATATCATGCTAATCTTCTCATTGTCATTTGAATTTTATCGGATATGCATGAGGGGACAGATCTTCAGAATATTAGATTCTTATGCTGGTTAACTAATTCATAAGATTAAGAAAAATAGGTAATTATTGGTAAAAAGTGTTTTGATTTTCTTAAAATATCTTTTCTTTTTATCATTTACAGTATAGCTAGAGTATGCCCCCGTGCAATGCACAGAGACACGTCAGCGTTACTGATTTTTTTTTTTTATCAAAATGTTACTGTTGCTTTCATTGTAGAGCAAACGGCAACAGAGGATTATATTTTGCAAAAGAAAAGATATTATCAAATCAAAACTTATGCAAATTATAGCTTATAAGTCACATATGACAGTAAGTATATGAGTTGTTTGAGGAAAATATAATAAATATGAAAAACACAATATAGCGGGGTTTTACAATTTTTTACCAAAATAAAGTTCCCAATCAATTCCTACATTTAAAATCAGATGGCCTAGAGCTTGTGGTGGTGTGTTGAGAGACTTTAATAAGGACTAGATCCTGTGTTTAAAAGGTAAAGTGGGGCAAATACCACCTATTTTTAAAGTTTTAGACATTTTCAAAGGCCTAGAGCTTTGCTAGAAGAAGGGTTGATTGTGCAAGCACCATCTCCACGGTCACAAGGAATAACTACAATTATCATCATTTTCAACAAATTATCAACTCTACCAACAAACTTTTGATTAAAGATTGAGATGTACATCTTCATTTTTTATATAGAGAGAATAATAGGATGAGTAATTATTTAGCTAAATCACTTTTAATCTTAGTAATGAGAGAGAATAATAGGATGAGTAATTATTTAGCTAAATCAACTCTTAATCTTAGTAATGATTTAAATTTATATTATCAACCTCCTGTTACTTAATTGGGGAAGGTCTTTACTTTTGGTTTATTATTTTTTTTCCCTTTAGGTTTCTTTCGTATCTAGGCTCTTTTTTGTGCACATTCTTTCATGAATGAAGGTTTTCAATATCATTCCAAAAAAAAAAAAAATCAGATGGCCCATTTTTCCCCTAGCAGATGGCCTATTAAACAAACTATTACCTAACAAATAAACAAGTACAAAAGGGATAATTTATGGACTTAAGTTTACATGTTTAATGTACTTTTTAATCAAAAAAGGATTGAATGGCATTTTCTTGTTTTCGTTATATTTTGACTTCTAAACAATTAGACTCATTACAAGTTACAATCTCCCCTCGCCATTAATATGGGGTAAATGTTTGTTACATTTCAGCATGGCCTTGGTATGTTTCACTCTCTCTCACTTGATCGTCTGTCCTTCTCTGCTGTCTCGCTCTCCCTCTCTTCCCCCCTCCATTTGTCTTTGGTCAGAGGCCATTCTTAGTTTCAGTTCTTGGGTTAGCAGCACCATTTTCTCCTTCTTTTGTGCTTCTTTTCTTTCTTGTCCCTCCATAATATTTTCTCTTCCACACCTTGTTCTTCCCATTCATCCCCGAGTGATTCACAAAGTACTTCCCTTCTTACCGCCCTCTTTCTCATTCCCTCCTACCCTCACAAACCCATCTTTCTTCTCCCCTTACCCCACTCTTTGAGGGACATACCCACTTGAAGCAAAGAGGGGGCAATTGCCCCTACAAGAAAAATAAAAATTGCACTTAATTTTTGATTAAAATTATATTTTCCCCTTTTAAAATTACAATTGCCCCTATAAAAAAATCAATTGTCCCACATTTTCTTTAAAATTATTAAGCCTATAATTTAAAAATATCATTTACTCTTATATTTATTATAAAAATAAATTTACGATACAAATGAAATTAATATATATTTTTCAACTTCTCATATAATTTATTTATATATTAATTTTAGTTAATATTCAAAATTTTATATTCTTAATATTTATATTTAGTATCAATATTGCCCCTTCTAATGAATTTTTATAGGTTTGTCACTGCACTCTCTAGAAGCAACGTTTTCATAACTAGTATAACATCATCAAAATTTAAATCTAATTAATTAAGCCTAATTAGAGTAATTAAGTTTATTAGTAAGATGTGTGGCCAGAGAGGTCTAACGAGTGTATTTGGTAATAATTTTAGCCTTAAATGTAGGTCCGAAGTGAAGTCGGGTCACTCGGATATGAAAGAGAAAGAAAATATAAAGGGTAAGGTTCTATGCCACACGCCGTGGTACATGTAAGTTAATGTGTTTGGGCAAGATTTTTCTGTGCCATGCGCCATTTTTTCGTAGAAATAAGAATGTGAAATTGATGCAAAAGTGGAGAGAAGCAAAAGAGTGAATGAAGAAAACATAAGAAGCTCTGCTAGAGCTTGGGGTTGAAAAGCATTGAGAGTATTTAAGGCTTCTAAACACTAGAAGTAAGTTTTCCAAATCTGAATCTATCTTTCTCTTCCATTTTCTTGATTTTGGGAGTTAGAGTTTGGTTGAGAAAGATGATTCTCGATTTATAGAGGCTAGGGTCTAAACCTATTAAATTAAATAAAGTTAATGAAAATTGTTTGAACTATTTAAACTTAACATTTATGGCTCTATGCATTTTTAGTTGTTGGAGGTCATAAATATATGAAAATCCACCATTAATGAAATGGTTGGAGTAATGTGGCTCCATTAATAGTTATTTAAAAGTTTAATGAAATAAATTTAAGTTAGGGAAAGCTAAGAAACCTCATGAGTAACCTTGAATGGGAAGAGATTGAATCTTAGGAGTGAAGAAGTGATTAAGTTAATAGTAAAAATTATCCAAAAGGGGTATTAATGAATTATATTATGATTAATTGTAGAGTGAGCATATTTGGTACCATTTAAGTTTCGTGGAAGCTTTGGGAGTAAGCATTTTGAGGGGTGAAATCATTGACTTCTAAAGGTTTAAGTAATCGAGAAAATTCTTTTTTATGCTTTTGTATGTTAATTAATTTATTGATTTACATCTGATAATTTAAATGTGTGAAATTGAATAAAATGCAAGTGTGGCATAAATTATTTAAAAAATCTAGTATAATGATTTTGTAAAGTTCAATGACATGGTGTATGTAAAATTCTATAAAACATTATTAACGATGTGCTATGATATGATTTCTTTAGAGTCCAATGATATGAGTTAATAAGGATTTCATTAAACATGTGCTAAGTGAAGTTCAATGAATTGATGTGTGAATGGTTCAATAAAATAGAATTTGTAAAGTTCAATGAAATGTGTAGTTAAGAAGTTTAATGAATATGTAAACGAGAAGTTTGATGAGATAAATAAAGTGGAGTTCAATAATTTGATTATGCATATTGATGTGATTTTCATGTATTGCGATCCCGTATTGTGTATTGTGATTTAAAATGGATATAAGTATTTTTAGGCCTGATCATATAGTTATTAGTATTGTGAACCATGACCAAGTTCCTCACTTATGTTGTATTGTGTTTACCTATTTTCATATGTTTACAATTGATATGCAATTGTATGAATTAGATGAAACTTAGTTATTGAGTAGTTATACTCACCCCTCAATTCTTAATATTTTCAGGACTTTGCTCATTGGATCCAGTTTAGGGAAAGCATTATGCGGCATAGGATTTTGGTGAAATCCTACTTTTATACCTCTTTATTCTATTTTTGTATATTAATGTTGTATAATTGCCAACTAGGATTATGTCATTATTTTTATACTATTTGCATTAGCTTAGTGTACAACTTGTGCATTTTGTGCTCCGGGTTAATGAGTTTTGATTGTAAACCTGTAAATAGGGCTAAAATACTTGTGCAAGTAAGAACATATATATTTTGAAAGAATTGGAATGAAAATAATGGTTTTGTACATGAATTTCCTCCCCTTTGTGTTTTGTGAAATTTGGAGTTGAGTAGTAATTTAAAAAAATATTTTTTTTGGTTGTGTTTGTAACATTGCACAAGTCCGCTAGAGTCCATTGAATATAGTCAGAGAGTTGGTGTAGGCTTTTAGCACTTATGGTTGAGTTGGGACATAAAAGTTGTGTGTTTTATGTGAAAAGTGATAAAAATGAGTTTTGGTGTCTAACTTTTTATAGAAAATAAATTTAAGTATGAAACCTATGTCATTAGCTAGATCTAGGAGAAAGCTCCATGTAGACACTGAAACCACCACAATCGAATGTTGGACAGAGATTTGAGATGTGTTGAAAATTTGCTCCTACTACTGTCAAATGATAGCAACTGTTGCTATCAAATTCGTGCAAGACGTCGCGACGCAAGGTGCTTCACATCGCAGTGCATGACACAGAGGCAAGTAAGCTGTGGCACATATGTCATAAGCCACGATGCATGGTTTGTTTTCTGTACAAAACACAGTTTTAAATTTTAAAACTCTTTGTTTTTTGTCTTATTTAATTTCCAAGCTTCTACATTATTTTCAAACTCTGATTTTAAACATTATAAGTGTGCGATAGTGATTGAAATTAAACTTTGGGATCCCATTGTAAATGATTTGAGAATTCTTCTCTCTTTTTATAATCTTGCAACTTCTGTAATCCTTTGAGGGTTAATCTCTTAATTACCTTGATTGAGGAGTTAAATATGGTTAAATAAAGGAGACATTATATATTCCAGGAGGGAGGCTTTGGTATTAAGAGCTTGGATGCAAGATCAGCCAAGAGCCAAAGTCCGATTACAGTCAATTATAGACTCTACAATTTGACTAATAGAGAAATATGAGGAGCCTTTGAGCATATAACAGTCAGTGAGAAACCCTTGCGACACACTACAGTACCTTCAATGATTTTGGAAAAATGTTGAATGGCTTCAGGGTAGAGACCAACATTGAAGGCATCTAGTGTTGCTATGTGATGTCGGAGGATGAGGTGCTTGCCTTCAATGATCCTGATAAATTCCTAAAACACGATCAGTAGGATAGGAGAGGAGGCACTTGTTGATGAATTTGGAGGCACGGAGTTAGTTAGAGAGAAGGTGGATACAGCAGAAGATGGTGTCGAATTGGCCACATTCGATCTCATTGCACATTTCATAGTGATTGTTCTAAAGGGTCTCCTCCACTTCTCTTTACTTTACTGTTTTTGTGTGTGGTTTTGTGATGGATGTGCTATTAGCTTATCAACAAGAGTGAGAGACAATCAAGTGAGAGCTCCAGCAATATGAGCAACTCAACGAGAGAGAGAGCGAGAGACAAAGAGGGGAGAGAGAGCAAGATAGTGGAGGAATAATGCTCACAAGTCACAACGTATGCTGATCATCCTTGGTGAGATTGGAACTATCCAGATTTAGTGGGTTGTGACTCTATTTAGTACAGGCATTAAGTATTTATATTATCTAAGCCATTAAAATTCAAATCAATGGTTATGAATTTATACTCCACTTGAGAGTAATGAATAAGTAAGTTTATCTGAACTGTCGATTTAAATTTTAATACCTCAGATGATATAGGCACTCAATACATGTACTAAGTACAGTTACAGAATTCAAATTCAATTTTTTGTGCCATTGATATTAAACATTTTTAATTTATACTTTATTTAATATTTATCAAAATGTAAAATTATAAAGAATACAATTTTCTTTTATACATCCACTTATCATCAATGGGGACAATATAAATTTAATAGCTAAAGATCCTTTATTTTTCCTTTCCTATCCTCCTCTTTTCTTTTTTCTTCTCAACTATTAGATCAAAATTTAAACAATTTAAATTTGATCTCTCATAAAATTATTATTAAAATGATAAATTATAAAAAAATATAAATAATAAAAATTAATCTACTAAAATTTAATATGATCAATTAAAAATATAGTAAAATTGAAATAAAAATATTTTATAAAAGATCAAATCTAAACCATCTAAATCTTGACACAATAGTTAAAAATTAAGAAAAGGAGAAGAAGAGGACGATAAGAGGAGAGGGTTGTCATAATGCTTGACACTATACCTCGTTCAAAATGGTATAAAAGGGAAACAGGTTAAAGCACCTACACTTACACCCAGTCTAAGGTGAGATATAGGAAAACTTGATCGTGATTACTATTCCTATTCTAAGGTGAGTTTATATGGTTCCACTTTGAAAGAAACTACTAGACCTAAGGTATCCTTTCGCCTGAACCACAATCATGCCAATATGTACAGTTTATCATCATGCAAATCTCACAGCATAATAAACTCAAGCATGTATGAAGTGTTATAATCAATGGTTGCAAGCATGCATTAACAATTCACCATTTCATCATCATAATATAAGCACATGTTCATAATAAAAACTAGTCAACAACATAACAATTCTGGTATATTAAACTTTAATTGGAAAATAAGGAAAAACCTACCTGCATGTGTGTATGTGTGTGTTTTTTTTTTCAAAACTATAATCAAGTGTATAATTAATTAGGTTCGTATTAAATCATTAACAAAACATCCTAAATTAATCAACAAGCAATAACATAGGTCAAAAATTCTCCTGATCACCTCAAACCTTTGAGAAATTAAATGTTACCCCCATGCTAAAGGCTTCCTAAGCAAAATTTGATATCAAACAATGCACCACAATATTTATCTATAATCCATAACAATAATAATTATTAAATAACTAACTATCATAACACTTCCAACTTCCAAGTATCCATTTTAAGTACCAATAATTCCAACCACAAGTGTAACTTCAATTCCAATGAGTTATTAGCTCTCATTTGCTTCATATAACTCTTAACAATTTAAAATAACAACAGTAACAAGCCATTGCTCAAACTTTTCTTCAAAGAGCCTAGGATTTGCCTAAAATGGAGAAATTCACACCTTAAGCTTAACCCATTCAAAGTCAATGTTCTAAGAGCAAAAACTAACATCTAATTATCTCATTTAACTCCAATACCTTGCCTAATAACAACCCAAGGTCTAGAAATCATCATAGCGTTCGTATTGAGGGAAGAACATTAAAACCCTAACTTAAAAATTAACTCAAATGGAAGAGGAATGATGTGAGCCTAAAAACATGGCAAAACCTTGTCTTAGTAGATCCTCTGGTGACTTCTCCAACCCTCTCTCTCTTCCTCTTTGTTTTATGCAGATTTCAAGCCTTATAACATGTTTTAGAAGTTTTGCCTCTGCATTATCATAAGCATTGTAATTCCATTTGCACGCGAATAGAGTTTAAATTGAAACTTTGTTTTTGGGGGTTCATCTACTCATGGATAGACCACTTGCAATTTCATTGGTGGGCAGATGAAGTATAGACTCCCCCAATTCCTTCACTTCGAGCTTAAATGGCCCGATAAGCTTTTGAACTCGATCCTAAGGCTATAACTATTCCTATAGTAATAAACTCTCATTTTAATCTTAATTACTCGTAAATAATATCTTAAGTTTAGGGATTAAAATTCAGCATATTTTAAGAGACTTTAAGCGAGAGAGAGTAAGAGACATCTAGACCCCATACTTAAAAGTAATAGATATTTACTTTAACTGTAGGGGGAGATTGCCATAAACATAATTATTTAGAAGTAAAAATGAATACAAAAAAAGAATTTAGGATTTAAATCGCTCCTGAACTTATAATCTATGATTAAAATTGCCAATGAATCCATAAAAAAAAATACAAGTAGATTTTTTTTTTTTGGTTTAGAAAAGGCTATCAATAACAAAAGTTAGTTAAATGGCTAGGTTATGACAAACAGATCTAAATTATCATCCTTGGAAAAAGGAGACATTGCCGTTACAGGCTTGTATGTACTATTCTGCTAGGTGGCCAGGAATATATAAAATCAACCTCTCTTGCTGGCGCATGAATTTGAAGGAAAATCAACCTCAAGATATTATTTATTCAAAAATTACTTGTATCTTCTCGTCAGATTACAATTAAAACATGGAAAGCTTATAATTTTTTACAACAATATAACAAGTGTGCCATTCCAATCTTGAAGAGAATCATTTCAATCTTTGTTATATATATATATATATATATAGTTAAATCATAATTTTTGAAAAAAGTTACTCGATGCTGTTGGAATATATTAGTCACGTGTACAAACATAAAATTTAATCTACTTTCAATGACCATACTGGTTTTCATACATCTCATGAAATATGTGAAAATGAGGTGTAATTTTTGAAAGCTACGAATACTATATCATGATATAAATTTTACTTTGTATATTGGTATTGATGCATTGGTTAAGATATTATTTTCATCCAAAACCATTTTATAAACATGTTATTTTATGTATTACTCATAAGTTATCATGATATAATTAATCATGAATTAAGTTTTATATTTTGCATGAATTATGAATTGTTAGTACTTAGTCCTACTAGGGAGGGCATTTTTTCGGTACGTATTGGGCTCCCTCTTCCTACCAATTGCTCCTCCCATCCTTATCCTATCGTTTGGGGCAGAGGCCTACATGCTTCCAGCCCTCCACCAGGCCCGTATCATTGATCTCCTTCGAATAGGCTCACCTGGTGGAAACCTACATGTGTGAAGGCGCGTAATTGGTGCTGGTGTTAGTTGATCTGCTTTTGCTCATCTCTGCCCCTTCTTCTCAACTAACTAATAACTAAACCCTATTTCCCTCTATTAATTCCCTTATTTACTCTCTCGCTCTACCTCCCCTCCTCCTCTTCCTTTTCTCTCACCCTGTTCTCTCATTGCTAACCCTTGGGTTTTCTTTAACATCTCCATTGGTGGATCCCAGGCTGGTCGCATCATCATGGAACTTTACGCTGACACTACCCCTCACACTGCCAACAACTTCCGTACCCTTTGCACTGGTAAAAAGGGCCCTGGTCGTAGCGGCAAGCCCCTCCATTACAAGGGTTCCACCTTCCACCACGTCATCCTAAGCTTCATGTGCCAGGGTAGCAATTTCACCTCCGACAATGGCACCGGTGGCGAGTCCATCTATGGAGCCAAGTTTAAAGATGAGAATTTCATTAAGAAGCACACCGGTCTAAGGGTTTTATCCATGGCCAACGCTGGTCCCGGCACCAATGGATCACAGTTCTTTATTTGTACTGCCAAGATGGAGTGGCTCGATGGTAAACATGTGGTGTTTGGACAGGTCGTGGAGGGTATGGAGGTGGTCAAGGCTATAGAGGCCGCTGGATCTTCCTCCAGAAAAACCTCCAAGGCCGTCATCGTTGCCGACTACGGCCAGATTTCTTGAGCCCACCATCTTTTCTGTTCAGGATTAATAAATCTCTCAGCGTGACCCCGCCTAGATTAGAGTTAAGGATCGTGAGCCAAATATAAAATGCCGGCGCTTCCTGCTTTGTAGTTGGTAGTTAATGCAGCGGATCATAAGACCAGAATATTTCATTATTATTATTGATCATTGGATAATTAATGTTATAGGCATCAGAGACGGTTTGAGTTCATGTTATAGATTTGTTTAATTAGTGTTGTTTCTCTAGTATGGCTTGAACTTTGGAGTGATTTTTTATTCCCACGGATACCTTACGGCATGCGACGTACGAGTACATGGAGATGCCAAGGCAGGCTACATATTACGAATAACAAAACAAACCATAGATGCTTTCGCATTTTTATCATGCATGTTTCGATAAATACTAACCTTTCCCATCAAGGAATTTTTGTATGAAGCTAATGTATTAGTTCATTCATACTCTATCAAATAAAAATATGACATATTAGATAATTCTAAATATAAATTAATTTTATTATTGATAGTGATAAAGACTACAAAAAAGAATACAAAAAAAATAAAGGTACTTTATTCTAAAAGTAATGATGCATGAGATTTTATTTGATTGAACTGTTATAACATAGTATATTTTTATTGACCAAAGTATAGATAATGTAGTGCACCATGTCTATACAAGAATTTCTCCCTCCGTATCCCTATTTCTGTCCATGTTTGCATGTATGAGATGTATATTAAATGTTTAATTAAGAAAACTAAGAACGAAAGGGAGCTTCTTTCTCGTACTCTAATTTTTTTCATAGCCAACACAAACTCTAATCAAATTACAGAGACTTATTATGGGGATTTTAACATAATATAAGTAGCCTTCATAGATGTGTCGGAGTACGCATGTTAATTTTTTATTCAATAATATGATTTATTAACACAACACTAACAAGTTTGAAATGATTCTTTTTTTTTTAATAAGAAAGATCTTAATTAAAGGTCACTGGCACACTGAATATCCTTGTTTAGCATAAATAAAAGACTGTCAGAAGGAAAACTAATGGTATAATAATCAAGATCTAAATCAAGTGCCTGCTGGGCTAAGTGATAAGCAGCTAAATTTGCTGAACGAGAAAGATGAGAAAATTACACCATCCACATTGTTGAAGAGCCTGAATCTCCTTTAAAATTTCTTCACAGGTACTTAGCCTAATGGCCTCAGTGGAGTTCGATTGAATAACTACCTTACGAAAACCTCTGTCCCACCCCAAGCGAAGGCCAAGAAGTATCCCTCACAACTCCGCTATCAGACTATCTCCCTAAGTCAACCTGTGAACAAATCCAACCGGAAATTTCCTAAAGCTATCTTGAACTACTCCTCCACAACCTGGCTTTCTCGTCTTATGGGAAAAAACACCATCAACAATTATCGAAACCAATCCGTGTCCTGGATGATGCCACTTCTGCTGATTGTTGTAGAGTATCATCCCATTCCAATTGATTCCTAAGATTTTCCTCCTTATCAAAGCCAGAGAGTAGTAGATAGAGTTAGCTTCTGCTATTATAGCTTTATTAAATTGAGATCTTCCTTCAAAAATTTGTTCATTCCTCCTCCTCTAGAGAAGCCAATGTAAAATGGTGAAAATTGCCGGCCAGTCACCATTGTTCAAGTTACAGTTCCATTTGAGATTTTGAGTAAGCCATGCAGACTGCGGGAGCTTAAAGAATTTAGTTCATTTATTAGGATCCACAATGCTATGCCAGAGGGAAGTTGAATCAATGTAATTTCACAGTACCTGAATTGTTTCCTCACCTTTTGAATGGCACCATATGCATTTACCATATGTCGTCATACCCCTCTTCTGTCTAATAGTATTGTAAGTAAATGACCATGATTCACAGGCCAAAGAAAAGACTTACATCATTGGGGTACCTGTAAATTCTAAATTCTCTCCCACATTCGACCTTATTCATTGAGTTATGCAGAATATATACTCTCGTATGCAGATTTAATAGAAAAAACTCTATTTCGGTCATGTTTCCATCGAGCACCCTCTCCTCTGTTGGTGATTTCAATTCCTGCATGTACATCCTCCCATTTAGCCTTAATACCTAACCAAACATTTGATCTAGGCTTCTTTTTATTAATACAAGTTATTAGGCATTGACCACAATTATATTTACCTCTTATGACTCGTACCTAAATATCATTACTTCTTTATACTAGAGACTATCCTAACTTCATGAGAAAAGCATGGTTGTTCGTTTTGGCATGTCGTAGTCCTAGACCCCATTTTTCTTTGGTTTGCACATATTCTCCTTTACCACCAAACTAAATTTCTTATTGTTAGCCATATTTCCCTAAAGAAAGTTACGATTTAGTTGGTATAGCATGTCATGTGCTCACCAGTAAGTGAGAAGTTTGCATGATGTAAGATGGTATGGCCAACATAACTGAAGCAATAAGGGTATGACGTCCAACTAATGATAGATTATTCACTTGCCATTGTGATAATCTACGTTTAACCTTGTCCACCATCTCTATAAAGGACTCTTTCCCTATTCTCTTGTGATGTAATGGTACCCTAAGATATTTCCCAAGGTCAGTTGTCTAAGTAAATCATAATAAGTTACTGATCTCCTCTTGGTAGTTATTATAAACATTTTCAAAGAAGAAAATTCTGGTTTTAGATGCATTCACCTTCATGCTTGAGGCCACACAAAAAATGTCTAAACATTCTTTCGAATTCTTAGCTTGGTTAACAGAAGCTTCGGCAAACAGTAAATGTCATCAACAAAGCATAGATGAGATATGGATAAGGACCATTCTTACCAAGTCTGATGGGGTACCACCACTCATCACTACATCGCATTTGAATTAGATAGAACTCTATGATTATCACAAAAAGATAAGTTGATAACAGGTCTCCTTGTCTAAAACGTCTGTTAGGAGTAAAAGTCGCAGTCCAACTACCATTCCATAGAATTTTTAAAGTAGACAAAAAAGTATTTTGAATTACTTCAATAATTTTAGTTGGCAATTCTAGCTCTCTCAAACAATTAATTATGAATTGTCAATTTAGTCTATCATAAACCTTTTCAAGATCAATTTTAATCACCATAAATCCTTTTCTCTTTTTAATTTTCCTCATAGAATGAATAACCTCCTGGCCTATAATAATATTATCATGTCCACAAATGAAACTACATTGGTATGGTGAAATAATCTTTAGAAGCATAGGTTTCATTCTATTTGTGATAACCTTCGTAATCACTTCAAAAATAATATTGCAAAGACTAACTGAACAAAGATTATGGAAAGACTCAAGTTGCTCTTTCTTCAGGATAAGTACCAAATAAATTTGATTAATCTCATGGATTTTCTCTAGATTTTCAAAAAATTCTTTAACAAATCTCATCCCTGATTGTCCCACAATTCTCCATTGACTCTGATAAAATATAGGACTAAGCCCATCCAACCCTAGGGACTTCAGGGCACCAATTCGAAAAACAACTTCCTTTATTTCTTCATCTTCAATCAATCTTTCGAGGGACATTATGTCTATAGCATTGATAGCAGGATAAGTTACATTACACTAAAAATTAATTCTAATAAGCTGCTCTTTTGTGAATAAATTCTCAAAGAATGATGCCGACATCAATTAGAGTACCTGACTATAATCTATCCATTCCCTATTCTTGTAAAACTCTAATAGCAAGTTGAAATATTCGAGGAGAGACAAGTTAGGCTACCCTTACTAATTCTCCCTAATCTCCAACATCTATGTAATTATCAAACTTATCAAGTTGTACAAATGGGACCCCAAGTTTTCAATATTTTATTGAAAAACATCCTAAAAAATCTTTATAAACTGGATATTAGAGTTTGTTTTATATGCAAAAGCATAGGATCTTAAAAAGAATCGATGCATTTACTTAAAATTGGAAAATAGTGAAATAGTGTAGAAAAGGAGGCTTGCGCAGTGGCTCGTTGCCCATGCACTACGACTCCTAAGCCTTTGTGTCATACGCCGTGGCACATTTGCATGCTTTTTGATAGCAAAATTTTGCTGTCATTTGATAGCAACCATGGCAACTCCTAACGTCTCATATTTCTTCGTCCGATATCCGATTGATGTAATCTAGGTGTCTATAAAGAGCTTTCTCCTAACTCTAGTTAATGGCTTTAGTTTGACACTTAAATTATTTCTCAAACAAAATTTATACACTCATTTCAAAACTCACTTTTTTTTCACAATTGCACAAGACTTGAGTACCTAAAACTCTTGCCAATACTACCCAGCCCATACTCAATGAATTAAAATGGACCTATGCAATACACCACATCACTACCAATACTCGTTAAATAAATTTTTATTACTCAACCCCTTGATATAAAAAATAGAAGGGGAAGCTCTAATCTCACATTTCATCAATTGATCATCATAATTCAAATGTGCACTAGTATTTTAGTCCTTGATAACCTATAAAAATTTATGTCATCTCAGCGTATTTTCCTGTAGTTTCATATGCTTTTTGATGAAATTGTGTATAATTTTGGTACATATAATAGGAAAATGTGCATATTTCACACTTGGGTTTAAATGACAAATCTTGGTATTTGTGTATAATTCTTTATCATGGTACAATTAATCTTGAATTCACAAAATTTCTTGCCTTCTTAGGTTGCTGGAGTATTATTTGAGGAGTAAAGAAGAAGTTATGAAGTTATTACATCAAGAAAAAGTCAAGACACAGTGAAGGATTAAGCCTTAGTCCAAGTACTTTCAGCCTCAGCTGAAAGCTAAACTAGAACACATCTGAAGCATTTTGGCTACAACTGAGAAAGAATTGACTGCAGCTAAAAGGTTTTGGCTATAGTCAAGGAAGAATTGATCTCATGACAAGTTTAACAAAAATATGTCCTATCCATCGTGGCGTGTGATGCATCCACCACAGCAGATGGCACAACATGGCTATCCCGAATTTGGCCTTGATATTGGGCTTGATTAGCCCTAGCTTAACTCCATCCTAACTCAACCTTAACACTACTCAAAGATCCTACAAACCTAATAGTGCCCTGGAAACTTACTAAACTCAATTTATTTGTTATTTAACCAATTTATCTTTATTTAGTCCTTAAATTCCAAATTTAAAATTTAGGGATGTTACAAATTACAACTTCCATGTGCAAATTTTTTATTCACTCAAGTTTAAGTATTGTAAATATCAATAACTATTTTGGTTTAAAAAATAAAACT